CCATTTATTCACTGAAATAATTTAATAGAGAGAAACTTTCCCTAATCTACTATTTGGTTACCCAGTACAGATCAAAAGTAAAAGGCACGACAAATAGTGGATTCTGTCCTTACATTTCTCTGTTTTTAAGATAATAAAACATCCTTATCATCATCCAATGATGACCTATTGTTTGATGGGTTTCAATCAATCGCAATTATCCTTTTGAAGCTCAAACTGTCCCATCGTTGGGCAGTAGGAGCTTCCTCTAGCTGGCTCCTGAGTCCTTTTAACATGACCCTAGAAGTCTTTCATGGCTTCCTCGCTCATTTTGGATAGATATACCAGGCTTATCTTGAACATTTCCTGTCCCAGACTTGGAATCAACCAGTTCTCCGGGAAGCCCTGGTTTCTTTTAGTGACAAATAATATTTCAAGACCACAATCTGGAATTCATACAGATATTTCAAATTCAACTTCAGAACAGTTTTTGTTTTCCTAACTTAACCTCTTTTGTATTATATCTGTATCTCCTTTCTTCCATATCAAAAATCCTGGTCTCAAGGACACAGGGTATATAGGATTACAACATCCCAAAATGATTCGTTTACTTTATCCTACATTATATACACAACAATCTCAGAACAACACTAATGCTACCACTATCAATATAATTACCAAGAAAAGTTATGACATTTTGCATATGTTCTCTCCATTCTCCTCCATTTTTATAGTTCATACTATAATAGTCGTATCTATTACATGGGCATACAGCCATTACATACGATGCCCTCTCTCTTTAATCCTCATTTTGTCTTAATTCTACTGTAACTGAGTGTTTACTGCTCTCCACTAGTCTTTATAGTGATGTTTCTCTGATCATTTTCATTGTCTAAAGCTCGTCCTCTAGTAGATTCCTCAGGAAGGGGCTCATGGGAATAATATTCTCTGAGGCTTTGCATGGTCATAATAGTTTATCTGGGCCATCTATACTTGAAAGTCAGTTTTGCTGAATATAAAATCTTTGGCTCATTTATCTTGACTTATCTGTTATTTTACTTTCTTTTGGCAAAAAGTGTGTCAAAAAGATTGGTGCTAATCTAATTTTATTTCTAAGTCACTTGCTATTTTGCCTAGAGGCCCAAAGGATTTTCTTTTTCTTTAATATGCAGTAGTTTACAAAAAATATGTTGACATTGGATGGTGTGCTCTGTCAAAGTATAGTTTTGTGTGTGTGAAAGTTCGCTTAAATTATACTTTAAGTATGTGTTCAGTTCCCTTGCCTTTTTATTCTCCTCTTTCAGGGATTTGTATTATCTGTCTGTTGGATCTTCTTTGCCTAGCGTCAATATTTGTCACTTTTTCTCAAAGTCTTATTATCTCTTTCTTCATTTATTTAGACCTTAAAATTTTTCCTCCCCTAAGGCATTTTTGGTTATGTTTATCTAGTCTTATGTTTTTCTAGTTCAATTTTCATTTCTAAAATCATTTTCATTTTCACTTCTTTCCTAAGTTGTCACCCTCATTTCTAAAATTTTTCTATTTAAGATTTATGTGGTTTATGCCTTACAGCATGATCTTAATGTTTCTTAGCTTAGTTTGAAAAAGAGTCCCAGTTTTTATCTGTTTTGTGGTATGTCTTCCTAGCAGTTTCGTTATCTATAGGGATTCTCTTACTCTTTTTTTCTTATAATAACTGAAAGATTTGACATCAATAATTTCCTGTTGCTTATTTTTATCTAAAATTAGTTTTCCTGGGCTTTTTAGAGGGAAACATTGCTCAGAGTAGCTCTTCTAACTTCATATAGCTCTCTTTTTGGTTGCTTTCCTGTAGTGTTCAAAAACATGCAGTTGCTTTTTTGAGATTGCACACACACACACACACACACACACACACACACACACGCACTTTTATTTAGACCTTCTTTTTCCTTAAGCATAACTTCCTATCCTAATCATTGTGACTCCACTCCCACGCTGAACTTCTCTTTGGCATGGAGCCTTGTCCTGGAAGTGAGCCCTAGTTGGTTGGTTTCAGGAGATTACAAGGACTGGCCCACAGGTCTCTTCCACCCATCCATTATTTGAGTGGTCAAAATCCCTCTCAATTTCAGTTGCTCTTCTCACAATGACCTGCCAAACTTTCCAGTAAATTCCTGTTGGAAATTTTGGGGTTTTCTAATTCTCAAGTCTATCAAATGCCCCAATGCATAGTTCTGATTTCTCTTAGACAGGTACTGATACTCTGCAGGTCTTATTGATATTGGTGGTGTGACCCCAGCCACTTGTATCTTGGGTTTGATAGAGATAACTTGTCACCTAGTTTTATTGTAAACATTGTTAGTGTATTTCAGAGTTTGCTATCTGAATAGTTGCTCTGGATATTTTGATGTGGGAATTCAGAAAGAATAAAAAACTATGCTGCTGTCACTACCATCTTCCCAGAATCACTTAAATGATTTTTATGGACTTTTGTGTCTGGCTTTTTTTTTCTTTCATATTATTAGACAGGAAACTAAAATACCAGGTGGTCTGGCTCAATTCCAATACCTGGCAACTCCAATGCTTCCCCAGAGACCAAAGACACCAGGAGACCCAGCTTTACACCTGAGCTAAAGACGCACTGACTCTGGCAGTGGCAGCCATCATTTTAGCATTGCACCCTCAAAGAATTCCCCATCCTCCCTACAGACTGCTCAGCCTCAGAAAACTGGCCGGGGCAGACCCAGCAATACTCTAGGGTGAGACTGGAAAACCAGGACCAAAGTCTCACCAGGGAGTCCATGCTGGGCAGTGTTGTTCTTGGTGCAGCCTACCTCTCGGCCATTCCACGTGGTAAGCAACTCTCAAGGGATTTTTAAATTTTTAAACCTCGTTATTGCCTCATTCCTTTCGTGAAGCTCAAAAATACAACAAGCAAACAAAAGCAAATAGTATACTGAAGATCAGCCATCAGCCAGCAAGGTCCAGGAAGTCTTTTAAAGGAGAAGCCATACGGCTTGTGGCTGAGAGCACAGGCTCACCGCCCTGCCGGATACGGTGGCCATGAGCCACACGTGGCTACTGGGCATTTGAAACAGCATCTAAGTTCAAAATACATATTAAGTTTTGAAGACTTACTTTGAAAAAAGGATACAAAGTATCTCAATAATTTTATGTTGCTTATACATTGAAATGATAATATTTTAAATATACTACGTTAAATAAAATATATTTTTAAAGTAATTTCACCTTTTTTAAGGATGAAGCTAGAAAATTTTAAATTGTACGTGTGGCTTGGATCATATCTCTGTTGGATAGCACTGGTCTAGACGTGAGACAGCCCTCGTTTTAAATCCCAGATAAGCAGTGCCACTTACTGTGTGAAGAGTCACTTTCCTCTCGAAGCACTGACTTGCTTGTCAGTATACTGGGAATAATAAATATGCCTACTTTGTATACGGCTGTTGTGAAAACTAAATTAGGTAACGCATGTAAAACATTTAGACATAGTTTTAAAATGGGAGCTGCCCTTATTATCATCCAGCATAAGTAAATAACGAGTAGACAAAGTTTGCAGACTTGGCCTGCCTACACCTGATCCAGGTAAAAGAATTAATCTCTTAGATCCTTAGTTTCTTTATTAGAAAATGAGGAGCTGATAATCTGCCTCATCAGGTTGTTCTGAGGACTGAATTCTTTCATCAACATGTGTTTATTGAGCACCTACCATGAGCTAGGCATGATTCCGAGCACTGGGGAAAGAGCAATGAACTGGTCAGATAAGGGTTCTGTCCTTTGGGAGTTTATACTCCAGTGGAAAAGATAGAGCACAAAAATATTGTTAAATAATGTAACTTTGGGTAGTAATAAGAGATATGCAGAAAGCAGAGTGTAGTGAGGGAAGAAAGGCTGATGGAGACACTACCTAAGCCCTAGAGCCGACATCTGAACAGAGACTCAGAGACCTGTGGAGAAGTGCCATCAGGACTGAAGGAAGAGCAAGCACAGGGCCCTGCGGCCGGGGCCTGCCAGGTGGGTCTGGGCAAGAACGGCGGCCACAGCACAGCCGGGAGCAAGGAGGTCAGGGCGGAGAGGAAGCTCGGCCAGGCCACAATTCTGGGTCTCATTCTAGTAAGAGGGAGCCGCTAGAGAGATCCGCCCAGGTTTTAAAAGGACCCCTCGGACACACCGACGGAAAAGATGCAAGTGCCAGGCTCAGCACAGCCTGGCACAACGTGCATGCGGGAGCCAGTGACGATGGAGCAATGAGATGGCGCCCAATTAGCTCCCATAGCGCCCTCGAGGGCACAAAACCTGTTTCAGCAAGAGGGACAGGGAAGAAGTGGTCGTGGTGGGAAACGGGGCCATGGTTCTGCAGTAAAAGGCAGCCCTGGGACAGCGCTCACGGCCAGGCTCAAGGTCATCCCAGGGCCAGTGGGCTCCCTCTACCCCCAAACTGCAAAAGGAAGATGCCAAGCCGTGACAAAACAGGAGCCAGCTCTGCTCCACCACAAGGACGGCCCCCGGTCAGACCAACAGCAACATGCGTCGAAGGAAAAGCAATTTTTTTAAATGTATCATTACAAAAATTGCCCAAATAATATTGTCTGCCATTGTAGAAAATGGTCATTATAAAAATGTAGAAAGTACACAAAAATAAAAAGAAGAAAAATTAAATTCCAATTACCTAGAATTCTGTAACCAGAAACTACAGTAAATAATCTGGCCATATACATCCAAATATTTATGAATATGTAAACAGCAAATCTAGACCTCTTCTTATGTAAATATAAATACGTGTGTGTTGTACATGCTTTTTTAAAAAATGTTATTATCCTCTCGCTTATTGTCCATATATATTGGGCATGCCTCCCAAGGAGGTTAATTTCTAGATTGAAAGCATCCTGTTTAACACTGCATGGTATTTCATAAAGAATACCTTACTCAACAATCCCCTATTGTTAGGTATTTGAGTTATTTCCGACCTAAGCAGTGACACCCCCCCCCACCCCAGCACCCACATCAGTTCTGTTACTTACAGCAAACTCCTCGGGAGTCACTTTCAAGACATCGAAGACAACGGCATCGTAGCTCTTGCTGGCATAGTCGCAGCTCTGGCCCTCCAGAGAGTCGGAGCTGCTGCTGCCCTGTGGGGGACGAGGAGAGACGGTGCCACCTGAGTAGTCTGGCTGAGTCCAGGGTCACCGACTCCCACACCTCAGAATTGAGGAGGCAAGAGTGACAAAGCTGTACAGCGACAAAAGCCCCTCTTGTTCAGTGCTTTCCTCTACTCCAGGACAGTGCTGAGCCCTGCACATGCATCACCTTATTTAATTTTCACGACGCCTCTCTGAGCGTACAGCATGACTATTCCCATCTCAGAGCTAAGGGGGGAGAGGCAACGTCACTCCTCGCTAGGAAATTGAAGAGCCAGAACGCGAACCTCGCTGTGCAGCTCGCTGATCTTAGAATGCAGCCTCTCAATCACTGCACCCCACCAGCTTTCAGTGGGCTGGGGGGCGGCGAAAATACAGCCCACTCTTCCTTCAGAGAGAACTGGCATCCATGTCCTAGGAGGCCTGCGAAGCTCACCTGTTTTGTTGCCTCTTTCAAACATTACCTGGTTTCACCTCTTTGTTTCTATTTGAAGTCATTGCAGGAAATTATTACATGAAATGTTAAGTTGAACTGGCTCTCAAGGCCTATCTCATGTATGGGCCACTTGGAATTCAAAGCTGGTTAGCTGATGAGGGGAGAGGCAACCGAGGGGCGCTGGAGGCGGGCATGACAGTTATAGTTGGTGGAGCCGGTTGCTAAGAAGAACACTGAGTCCCAAGCTAAAGAAAGGATCTCGCATAAAAAAGCAAGTTAAAACTCCCCCTAACGTGGCCAGTTTCATGAAACCCAACACTATGGGATCCCAGAATGCTGAACATACCTGCTCTTCAATTTTATTGAATTTCATCAAATTACTTTGGGGAACCAATCATGCTTACCACCCCAAGACCATGCTCCATTCACAAATGCTTTCACTCGTCTCAATCCATGAAGAGGGATTTTGTGGTTTCCATTAAACTCAACATATTGGACTGGGATTAGAGAATATGCTTTTATTAATTCCTCTTTATTTCACTCTTTCCAAAGTGGCTATATCTGGAAAAACTTTGCAATCTTACAGGAAACTAAAGTGTTTCTAGGCTGGTGAGGGAAACCAACAGTCAACAACTGAAAGTGTGTGGTTGAAAGGAGAAGCGGAAACTTAAGCCTATAGATTTCCATAGGCCTGTGTCACTTAGAGATTTTACAAATGAGTCTGTTCTACCAAAAGCTCCCCGGTGATCTTAAGCAGCAGCACATGGTGGTGGTGGTTAAGAGCGCTGAAGTCAGACCTGGAGAACAAGCCAGCTCCACACAGGCTGCTGTCTGACCTCAGGCGAGTTGCTTCGTTTTACTGAGCGTCAGTTACCACCTATGAAATGGCGCTAACTAGAACCCAGTCCCCAGGGTTGTGGTATGGGTTATAAACAATGAAGCTCCCAAAGCAACTAGCAGAACCCCACCACCATGGGAAATGCTGATTCGAGGGGCCTGGGTGGGCTCAGGGGTGGCTATTTCAAAAGCTGCATGGGTGATGGGACAGTCACCACTGAGGAGAATGTGTGTTAAACTTCTGAAAAGCAATATAAAGACTAATAACCCTGAGTGCCCCTGGAACTGGCAGTCTATTCTCCCCCTCAGTCTCACACACAGACCCTGAGCAGATGATGCCTATAAATCATTCTGCACTTCCATGCCCTCCTTCCAGAAGGCAGGCGAAATCAGGCAACAGGCCAGACTTCTTTGGGCCAGTAGAGTGTCATCATGGTTAGGGGTACAGGCTCAAGTGTCACAGAGGCCTGGCTTTGAATCCCCACCCACCACTGACCAGCTTGTGATTTAAAGCCAGTTTATTCATCCCTCTCTGCCTTAGTGTCTTCACCTGTAATCTGGGGCTGAAACAACAGTCCACAGCTGATGGGGTTACTGTGAGCACTCAGTGAGCAATGCCGGTGGAACATGTAAAAAAGTGCCTGGTATACAGTAAGCACTAATCATGGGTGTATATGTGTGTAAGTGGGTCCTTCAGTCACCAAAATTTATTGAGCACTTTGATTATGCACGTATGTATTCATTCATTCATTTATTCACTCAATAAGTACTTATTGAGTATCTATCATGTTCTGGATGCATACATACACATATATATGTCTATACATACATGTACATATGAGGTCTGACAATTAAGTTTGCAAACTCATCCTAGAAAAAGTGCTACATACCTCATTGCTGAATAGCACTATGGTCACCTTAGAAGTTTTCCCCTTGGGAAGCTATGCACCGACGCCAGCACCTAGTCCACCCTTCAAAGCAATTTTGGAACCCTTTTTCTGGAATGGCCATCAGAACTGCTCTTCTATTATCCTTGATGTCCTGAATGTCATCAAAATGTCTTCCTTTCAGTATTTCCTTTCTCTTCGGGTAAAGAAAGAAATCATTGGGGGCCAGATTAGGTGAGTAGGGAGGGTGTTCCAATACAGTTATTTGTTTATTGGCTAAAAACTCCCTCACAGACAGTGCCGTGTGAGCTGCTGCATTGTCATGATGCAAGAGCTATGAATTTTTGGTGAAAAGTCCAGGTCATCTAACTTTTTCACGCAGTCTTTTCAGCACTTCCAAATAGTAAACTTGGCTAAATGTTTGTCCAGTTGACAAATTCATAATGAATAATCCTTCTGATGCCAAAAAAGGTTAGCAACAGCATTGCAACAAGTTCACAAACTTAATTGTCAGACCGCGTATACACAGTATCTATGCATGTGTGCGCACATTATGTGTATACATACACACAGACAGACTGGAAAAGAAAGAAGTTTTACTCTAGATAGATGTAAATTATAAATAGAAACAGAAGTCTGATTCCTCTTGTTACCAGACAGAGTCCATTCCTGGGATTTCAGGTTTTATAACTTTCCTGTAACACCCTTTGCATCTGCCCCAAACACACTCACACAGGAGGCCTTATTTAATCAAAAGTTGCCCCAAATATATTCGGTGCTGGTGGTAGTGGTGGTGATGCAGTAACTTTATTTAAACTTATATTGGCGCCATCAGGGAATTTTAAAAGGTACCCACAAGTTTGCTCTCAGAACCAGAGATCAAAATAAGGAATCTTTTGAAAGTTTTATAAGAAATGAATTAGTTCCTGTGAATTTCTAGCTGATTACACAGGATCATTTCAAAGCCCAGCTCGACTATGGGGCCTTGTGAGCTCAGAACACTGAGCGCTGCCAGTTTGTCACAGGAGCCAGGCATTACACATTGGACCTGGTGGCATCCTCGGGCCTCAGATGACACCCACTCCTCCTGCACGCCTCTGTTCCATTACTGAACCTGGAAAGCAAGGTCCCAAAACCCCAGGGCAGGGGCCCTAGCCCAGGCCACTCTCAGACCACCAGTCCTTACAGCCATTTCCTACTGAGCAAGGTAAATACGAACACAGGGCCAGTTGGAATCACTTCTGTCTGACTTCATTCCGGAATGTGTGACTTATTTATAATCAGCAGCGGCTTTTCTTGGGAAAGGTCTGATCTCTCCTTGCCACCAAAATGGAATGTGGCACTTGCTACGACTGGACTGGGCATGTATTTGTTTTTCTTTGAACGACTTCAGAAAACACACTGATCCTCAGGACTGACTGCCTCCCAAATCTCACGCCTGGTGTGGCCAGGGGCCTCAGGAGTGCTAAGAATGGTGGTATTCATGGAGCCTGCGGCCTCGCAATGCACGACACAGCTGGGACCCGGGTCAGCTGAAAGGAACCCCACCCACTGTCCCGACCCTTGAAATCCCCATACCTGTGGAGTGGCAGAGGTGACCAACACGCTAGCCATCAGACCATTCCTCTTGTACATAGTCTCCAGGCTGCAGGGAGCGTCAGGGCAGCCTCTGTCGGTGACATAACCTGTCTGGAGAAGTCCTGCAAGGCAAAGGGACTCATGAAGACCAGCCTTCCGAGCCAGCCTGTTCCCAACCCGGGGCCAGCTGTGCAAGACCGGAGCAGATGAGCCTAGAGGAGACCTTGAAAGGCAGGCTCTAAGTGGGCGGCCTTCAGGCTCAGTACTGCCCACAGGTGTAGCTTGTTGGGCTTGTACAGGTTTCAATATTTTAAAAATTAATCACCAATGTTTAAAAATTAAAAGGTTTCACACAGAATTCTGGATTTCTGACTTTTCTTGACAATAGAAATACCTGGCGGTGTTGGGCCCACATTCCTGCATGACAAACGATTGGCCGGGCTGAGCAGTGGCTGCCCACCTGGCCTGTGCCACCGTTCTGGGAGGTGCCTGGCCCTCACAGGCACCAGGGTTTGTGCCCTTTGCTTTACAATGACAGCAGGTGAAGAAGACAAACTGCTGCGTTGCCCTGCGCTCCAGCCCGTTCGTCTCATCAGTAACAACGTGGACAACAGCTCCCACTTGTGCAGTGCTCGTCACATGCTGTGCACCCTGCACACCTTAACTCACCTAACACTCACAGCAGTCCTCAGGTAGGTCCCAATGGAACACCATCACGTGCCAGGCATTTAAGGCACAGAGAGGGTAAGTAACTCGAGCTTTGGTGCCCTTGCTCATGCTGTCCCCTGATAACTGTCATCATTCAAGACCTGCTCGCATGTCATTTCGTCTGGTAATCGTGCCTGGACCACCCAAAAGCAAAACCTGTGGCTCCAATGCCAGTGTGTACACAACTCTAACAGGGAATTTGTCACATCACTAAACATCACAGAACTGCAGCCACACCAGCCTGTTAGCAGGAAAGTGACCAGGAGAGTAAGGGGATGTAGGGAGGGGGCAGGAAAGGTACCAGCTGGGAAGCCAACAATTATCCAGGCAGAGATGAGGAGGGTCCTCTGAAATAAGGCTGCAGCAGCGAATTTAGAGAGAAGGAGACAGACTGAGAGACAGAGAGGGAGTCAGGAGAACAGGCTGAGGATGAACGGTTTCTGGTTTGAGGTACCAGAAGGATGCGTGTCCATCAAGGAAAGGAACAGAGGCAGTGCAGCAGATTTGTAGGGAAAGATGAATTTAACTGGGGACAGGCTGGATCTGGGGTGCCCATGAGAAAATCAATCCTGGAGAGCAAGGTCAAGCCCACAGGTCACTGGGAAAGATAGTTCAGAAGCAGATGGAAAAGAATAAAGCATCAGTCTGATCTTGACTGTCTGTGTACCCATTATGCTTTCTATGGGTGGCCTGAGCTAGACAGACAAAGCGCTTGTTTCCGATCTGACTCCTGCATGTCTCGCCACTGACAAAAACAGCCTAATTTATGGGCAGTAATTCTCATACAAGTGATATTTCACATTCTAAGGAAAAAACAGAACCAAGCAGAATGGAATATCCTTTCCAGGTCCCAGAGAAACCCCCACCCATCCACCTCCAGTCCCTGAGGCCTGGCCAAACCCCAACTCCTCCTCAGGGACCAGACTCCCTCGAGTGGGTCAGCCTGGCCCAGGCCCCTCCCTGAGAACCCCTTCCCCACCCCACAGGAAGGCCCCTAAAGATGGGGACTGAGCTGCCCAAGCCAGACTGATTGGACCAGAGTGGCCACCTGATTCTCCTGGGAACTCAGAACCTGAGATACCAGTCTCGGCGGGTTAGCCAAATGGAGACACCGTACCGTCGGGAGCAGAGCTTGGCCAGGTCCAGCACAGGAACAGTCCAGTCACACAGTGGGAGGAAGAAGACGCACAGGGGGAGCTAAAGAGAGCCATGTCTGAAAGCAAAGAAGAGCAGTGGGCCCGCTTCCCACCTCCAGGGCTCTGGAACAAATGACTCTTCTTCAGTGTCAGGTAGTTAGGATTTCCAAAAGACCTGACCAAGACTATTTCCTAAACACCAAGTTCACGCCAAGCCGCCAGAGACCTGACCCTGAAAACATAGGGACTCAGCTGAACGGGGAAAGATGTGCACCATCGTTCATTTATCCACTCATCATTCAGCCATCCACGCCCTCACTGAGCTCCTACATCATGTTGGCACTGTTCTGGCCAGGGGTTCCTAACTGTCATTGTGCCCTGGACCAGTCTGGCAGTCTGGTGACGCCTCTGGGCCCCTTCTCACAGAAATGTTTTAAAATACATAAAATAAAATTACACAGGAAATCAATTACACAGGATTACTCAGGAAACCAATTATATTAAAATGCGGTCATTAAATTATTTTTAAAACAATTTGTAACATAATCAAGTAATACATGTATTTCTTCATGTAGGGGTATATGTATATATATTTATTACTGCATTCAATAACCAGATCTATTGGGGGATCTAATAAGTACCATAATTTCAAAGTAGTTATGAGCATAGACATTCTGAGATGTCCACAGTTACTTTGTGGTATGAAAATACCTGTGATTTTTGTGACAAAGTCCAAGGCGCTGTTAATATTACTATCCTTCATTGTCTATATTAGTAACTAAGAGAAGTGCTACATTTCAGTTAGAAGTTTGTGAAAATAAAGATGTCATTTTTTTCCCATCCAAATTCAGAGATGCATGATCAAGAACCCTGTTCCAGGCACTGAGGGCACGAAATGAGCAGGCCTTCTTCCCACAGAATTTACATTCCAGGCAGGAGTCAGAAAATACACGTGAACAAAGAGGATAATGTCAGATAATGAAAAGTGTCTTGAAAAAATAAAATAGTGTGGACAACAGTATTTGCCAGGATGATCAGGAAGGGCTCCCTGAAGACATGACATCTGAGCTGAAACCTTAGGAGGAAAGGAGTCAGCCACAGAAACCAGGGCAATGTTCTTTGCTGAGGGCATGGCCAAGTGCAAAGGCCCTGAGATGCAAATAAGCTTAGAAGCTCTGTGATGGAGGCTGGTGGTCAGGGCTAGAGCTGAGGCAGTGGGAGGCAGTGGACAGGCCGGCTGGAGCCCGGGCACAAAGGGCCTTGCAGGCCATGGTGGGGAGCTGGGTTTTATTTGGAATACACTGACCAGAGGAGTGACACAATCTGATCTGTTTCTGAAGAACACTGTGACTACTGTGCAGAGAACTGGATTGGAGGGTCAAAAACAGGAGCAGCGGAGCCAGTGGGAGTATGGCCTGGACTGCTGGCCACGGGGCAGGGGGATGCATTTGGGAGGGGGCCTGGTGGTGAAACAGACAAGACTTGCTGGTGGACTGCATGTGAGGGGAGAGGTAAGTAGGGATGACTTCTGAGTCTGGGGCTGTTACGATCCAGAGTCGAAGATGACACAGCCCTGCCCTCCAGGGTCCTGCAGTGTAGTGGGGGAGAAAGCCCAGTAAGCGGATACTCACAGTACATGTGCTATAACAGATCATAGGTTCACCTTGGAGGTCAAAGGTGACATCACTGAGAAGAGCAGTTGAACTAGATCTTAAAGGGGGAGTGGGGGCGTTCCATGGACAGGTCGGGCAGTCTGAGCACGTACGGAAGCACAGAGGCGTCAAAGGCCCCCGAGATGCCAGTGTGCTAAGGGAGCAGGTTTCCCTTCTCCATTGTCCCTAGCCCCGTGTCCCTCCTAGACTAACACAGGCACTGGGAACACAGCAGCCCATGTGGCAGGCACGAACTTTGTTTTAACAGGTGGCCCTGACACTGCAGTCACAGCACCAGCACCATGCCTCCTCGCCACTCCCTTATCTGTCCAGTAAACTTGGTGAAACTTCTCGAGCCTTGCGCTGTGCCAAGGAGTCCGGCCAGCCTTGGGGCCCCAAGGAGCTCATGTGCAGTCTGATCACTGTTGTCATTCTGACAATTTATTAGACACTTTCTTTTGGCTCTGGCTAAGGATTTATAAGCATTTTTAAAAACCATTTTACAGATGAAGAAACTTGGGGATACATTTTGACATAGCAGCATTGACTGTGTCCCCTGCCACCCTGGGAGACAGTCTGGCCTAAAGGTAAGAGCATCCGCTTTTTGAGTTTGGCCATAATTATCTGTACGCACCAAAACCCTATCTTTCCACCCTCTGTCTGCCTCTCTCACCTCAGACACTCACACACACACACAAAATTTCATGCTGCAAACGCTTCCCTGGAAACCAAAACACTGCAGAAGAAAAAGCGATTCTCATGATGTAACTTCACAAGAACGTGGCAGTTGTGTCAGAACCACAGAACAATCCCACGTCTCTTGTTTCTGTGTGACAGAGTCTGGTCTGGTGTGTGTGGGCTCCTGACCAGAGGAAGGAAAACCCATATGCAGAGTTGGTTCCCTTCCAAGCTCAGAATCCTGCTTCAGTGTTTCAGGCTCAGGAAACCAAGAAAACACCACCAGACAGCCTGGTGCTGACCACTGTTGAGAAGGCAGAATAACTACTTTTTCCTAAGTTGAAGGAGGTTGTTTCAAAGAAAATACACACATCCAGGAATGTTCAATTACAAGAGAGTGATCTCTTCCAAATGTTTCAGACAAGTATAAAAATGGACTCCGAGCCCCATTTCAGAGCCCACTTCCTCAGCGTGGGGTGAGCTGCTCTCAGCAGACGTGGTCGAAGCTTGCTCCATCTTCCTGGGTTTTGAACATAAGTTGTGACAAAGACGAATAGGAAGGAAGCAAAGAGGGTTTCTGCCTACCATCCCTCCATCAATTTTCGGTCCACTTCAGGAGCAATAAGTGTGCACGTGCGCGCGCACACACTTTCTGAACCACAGACACAGGCTGTCAGGTTTTGTATTGCAAGAGGTTTCCCCCAGGGTAACCATCACTCTTGGGCTGGACCACCTGCCAGTAGCTCAAGGAAGGCCCTCCTCATGCAGGCTGTTATCTCTACCTCCTGACCCTCTCCGAACTAGCCAAACCTCTTTTCCTGGCAAGCGGCAGTGTCTGGCGGCTTTGAGAGAAGCCTGGCCACGTCAGCACAACGCCATCACTCACTGTGGTGTTCACCCCCACCCTCGCCCACTCCTTTCAAACCACCCCCCGCCAGATGCTCAACG